TTTATTGATTTGATCAATTACGTATTTAGTTTCCGAAATATTATATCGGGGGTCCATTGCGCATGCTAAAGGAAATAATATAGGCAGTTCTTTCCATTATTTTCTAAACTTTAATTTCATAACAATCATAATTTCACTAAAAGTAGAATCATTTTTATATTTATGGAATGTTCTTGCAACTATATAAAGGCGTTCAAGCACCATACAACTGTGGGATAATAAATGCCGGATAAAATTTTTGTGGTCTCATAAAAAGATGTCAAAAATCGTTTAATTTTCAAAGCTAAAACTCAATCGGATTCATTCAACATACCATTGTCATCGCTTCTAACTGTCTATTGTTATAAAAGTCAGTTATTAAATGTTCGAAACCTTCACATGACTTTAATAGCAAGTAAGTAGAGTTCCATCTATGGCCTACGTCGCTAACAAATGTTTTAGCAGTGGTCACCACTTGTTCGGCACAAAAATCATCAAATACTTGTTTTCTACTAGGAAAAATCGTAATATATACTAATGCATTCTTGAAATTCATCCTTTATATGTTTTAAATCATCTTGCACAATTAAATTCAAATATGACACACACAACGAATATGAAATAAATACCCACCAAAATCAGGTTGAAGTGTCATACACAATTTATCGACGACTATCTTATTAACACTAGCATTATCAAAAGTAAAAGACCGAGTTTTAGTCTCACAATTATATTTTCTAACAATATTGATAATGACATTATATATATTATTAATATTGTGAGATAAACTCAATAATTCTAAAAGTAATAATTTTTTTATGCATGCACCAAAGTAGGACTATATAGTGTACGATTGCAGCTATATATGCTCTTTTATTAACCCCTTCCCACATATCAGAAGTTAAAAATATAACACCCCCATATTGTTACAAAACCATAATTAATTGTTGTTTTAAATTATTGAAATATTGTATTATATCGATACAAAGAGTGTTTCGACTTACCTTAACGTACATTGGTTGAAGATATTCTTTCACGATCGAGACGAAGTGTTGGTTATTGGCAATAGCCAGAGGTAACTCAGTGGCAGCAACAAATTTCACAATTCTGGTTCGAGTATTGTCCTCTGAATACAGCCACGTGGATAGGGGTGAAGTTGTAGAATCGGCACCTGAACTGCTAAATTGCAATTGTGTTTGACCAACTGGAAGAAGTCCATGTCTGGCCGCACATGCTTTATAGTGGCAGTTGAGATGGGTGGTACCAATTCTTTTTTGCCATGCCAATTTTTTTTGGCAGTATTTACATACTGTCTTAGATTCTGCAAGGTTATCAACGACTTTTTTCTTTGAAATCAACTTAAAGTGATCCCAACATTTTGTTTGGTTTTTGCGCTTTCGCTTTCCTCTCCCATCTGGGATGTTAATTCGACATCTTCATCTCTATGTTCCACTTTGGGAACGTTAATATTATCCAAATCAATTGGATTGTGACTTCCATGATCGTAAATGTGAACATCTTCAGGTATGGGTACGTCATTTAGATTGATAAATTCATTTGGAAATTGACTTTGCGGCGTCCTAGGCAATTCGCCATGTGACCCACATCTTGTATCGAATAAGCTCTCAACAAATCAGAGTTAATCCATTTGTTTGATTGTTTATGATGAAATCCAAATATAATAACTAGTAAAAATATAGAGCATGTTTGGTACAGCTTAAAACCTAATTAAAATTAATTTTTTAATCGTTATTTCACTATTCCAGCCGTCATTTTCTAAATTCTTTTATCATAAGTAGGACTCACTTTATCTCTAATGATCAAAAAATCAATTAACAAAATCCCTACCAAACAAGCACATAATTGTAGTGAGAATTGAGAATTTGATGAATTGAAAATGTAACTGAATAAATTGTAAAAAATGAATCGGTATTGTATATTTTGCACAACAGTACGAGAGAGTAAAAACTCGATAATTGATATAATAAAATAGAGTTGAGAGAGTTGATAAATGAGAAGTGAGAATGAGGAGATTATTGATATGAAAAAAAATAGGGAATTAAGGGGGTATTTATAATAAAAGAAAAAAAATAAATCAGTGATCATTGGGTCATTAAAAAATTTCAGTGACAGAAACAGTCACTTTTTTCGGTCACCAAAACGGTCACTCTTTTCGGTCACTGAAAAAAGTGACCAAAACGGTCACTTTTTGTGTATTTATAATAGAAGGAAAAAAATAAATCAGTGACTTTTTCAATGACGAAAATGATCACTTTTTTCGGTCACTAAAATATTTCAGTGATCAAACGGTCACTCAACTTTGAGCAGCTCGTGGCTCGTCACGAGCCTGGCTCGTTTAAACAAGCCGCTCGTGGGCTCGCCTCTCGACGAAGTCCGCTCGGTTCGTGCTCAGGCTCGTGATTTTACGATCCTAAATCGTCCACGAGCTCTATTTTAACGAGCTGTCGGCTCGACCCTTTTGACGTCCTTATTTGGATATGATGTTTGAAATGTAGATTTTTATAGTAGGATTCCCTGTCCTTCCCACTTTCTATTGTCTAAAGAGGACCAAAAATATAATGGGCCGACTCCAAGGCCCACTGGAACCAGTTCCTCTACACAACCTAGGGCTTTACCCCCGTACAACCTTCATCACCGTATACTACATAAAAGAAACCAGCACAAAACCCTAATCCACCCGCGCGCGCACGGAGCTCAACGAAAATGGTGAAGTTTTTGAAACAGAACAAGGCAGTGGTCCTCCTGCAGGGGCGGTTTGCCGGCCACAAAGCCACCATCGTGAAGAACTTCGATGACGGCACCCGCGACCGCCCCTACGGTCATTGCCTGGTCGCCGGTATTGCCAAGTACCCTAGCAAGGTCATCCGCAAGGACTCCGCCAAGAAGCAGGCCAAGAAGTCGCGCGTGAAGGCTTTTGTCAAAGTCGTCAACTATAACCACATCATGCCTACGCGCTATACGCTAGATGTCGACCTCAAGGACATCGTCGCTGCTGAATCGCTCTTCTCACGTGACAAGAAGGTGACGGCCTGTAAGGAGATCAAAGCCCGATTGGAAGAGAGGTTCAAGACTGGCAAGAATCGATGGTTTTTCTCTAAACTCAGATTCTGAGGTGGAAAAATGATAAGATATTGTGTTTTTTGTTATTTGGAAGATTTACTGTGTTTGATTTAAATTTTATTGCTAGATATTTTAACTGTTGGTTTTGATTGAGCTGATTTTGGTTATAAATATTATCCATTTTTAAATTGTTTTTTAATACATTATAATTCATGTAGTTGGTGAAATACATTGATCAGGTTCGAATTGATTCCGTGGTTATGAATTTGTTCTTGTTTTGGATGATTGTATCCATATTGATTATTAAACGATTTTATCGGCTCTCATTTCTGCTGCTTAGCTCAATGCGCCATCCGCAGATCTCGGATCATTGGAATTCGCTTTGCTTGTTTCTCCGTTCTATTTTTCCCCCGTCAAACTGGTCTGGCATCAGTCAGTAGTACGGCCAGCACTTGACTGGAGAAGGAAACCCGGGAATTTTGTATCTGGAATTTCAATATCAACTGTTGGTCCTCTACGGTGAAGGGCATAATATAAAGGCTTTCTTAGGCGTACTCACCCTACGTCACATTCAGAGGTTTTGTGCGGGGATCTCCACTAGGGCTTGCTTGCCTTGGATTGATCCTCCTCCTCCTCCTACGACTTCTACTAGTCCTCCTACTCCTATTAGCCCTCTCTTTTCTTCCTCGAGCACGCCTTCTGGTTCTGTGAAGAGCCTTTCGAGCAATTTTATTCGAGCTTAGAGAAAAGTACGATTGCGGAGGTGTGCCCTTCCTTGAACTATTCGGTCATTCTCGGATGAAGCAAGGATATCTTGCCAATTAGTTCGGTCAAACTGGTCTGGAATCAATCAGTAGCACAGCCAGCACTTGATTGGCGAAGGAAACCCGGGAATTTTGTATCTGGAATTTCAATATCAACTGTCTGGTCCTCTACGGTGAAGGGCATAATATAAAGGCTTTCTTAGGCGTACTCACCCTACGTCACATTCACAGGTTTTGTGCTGGGATCTCCGCTAGGGCTTGCTTGCCTTGGATTGATCCTCCTCCTCCTCCTACTCCTACTACTAGGGCTTGCTTGCCTTGGATTGATCCTCCTCCTCCTCCTACTCCTACTACTAGGGCTTGCTTGCCTTGGATTGATCCTCCTCCTCCTCCTACTCCTACTACTAGGGCTTGCTTGCCTTGGATTGATCCTCCTCCTCCTCCTACTCCTACTACTAGGGCTTGCTTGCCTTGGATTGATCCTACTCCTCCTCCTACTCCAACTCCTACTCCTCCTCCTACAACTACTGCTGCTCCTGCTCCTACTCCTACTCCTATTCCTGTTGCTGCTGCTGCTTCTTTATTAATGTTGTGCTGCCAAATACTGCATTAACTTTTCTTTTGCATGTAACAACTGCAATCTTATTCTTCTTCTTCTTCTTCTTATTATTAATGTTGTTCTGCCAAATACTGCATTAACTTTTCTCATGCGTGTAACAACTGCAATATTATTCCCACGATTGTTTTGAAGATGCCAATAACCAAATTCTTCTCATAATTGTTTTGGATAACTTCATTTGCTCTGTTCATCAGCATGTCGCTTGAATTGTGTGTTTGCACGAGGAAATGTGCACATAATTCTACCTGCTTTTCTATATGGAGAATTATTTATGTTAAAATTGAATTTGTCATGAAATAGGACCTTTCCATATTCGTAACAGTGACAACTGTATGACTTGAAAGCGTTGGTTAGAAAAATCTGAAGTCTGTACGATAAATCCTGGAAAATAAAATATGCTGAAACCTTGAACCGGTTTGCATACGCGCCTCATGCGCTGTACTTTGCAATCTGAAACTAGTGCTCTTGGGGTCTGGATATTGTTTCTTAGAATCTTGATGATTGGAGAGTTTTTCTTGTCCAGTCGATGGTTACTGTATTTAGATATATTGAAATATCAGTAGGAGATATCCGACCCTTTTTTTCATGTTAAAAGAGTTAAAATAAAAAACTGTAATTTTGCTACACATCTTCTTCGGGGCTATTAAGAACTCAATGTTGAGCGCCTTTCGAGGCATATCTCAGTGGTGCAAAGGACAAGAGTAAATATACTCAACCTTGCTGGTAGTCGCAGTGTGAGGGTTCGATTCCTGAAACATGGATTGAGACTTTTTGTGGGCACCAGTGTATAGGCAGTTCTTGTTCCTTGACCTGGTGAGGCACATCTCGCGATTAACCTCTCTTACGATGCTTCAGGGACAGGGCGGTGGGGGACCCTTAAGGTTGGGGTTCAACCTTTTAAGAACTCAATGTTGAACATAATGATTTGTGCTTCATTGAGTGATTATTCAAGTATACAGAACCCCAATACATCTATTTACCCGTTTCTTAAGAGGATTTTTTTACTTGTACATAAAAAATGTGCATAATGGATTATATAATATAATGTGGAGAGAGAAGATTGGATAAAGAAGTTGATTGT